ATCATGTCTCTATTCAAAACCCAGCAGTGTTTTACCATATCCAGAGCTGAGTTCAGGTCCTGAATATCTTTGTTAATTTTCTGTCTCAATCATCTGTTGAATGTTGTCAGTGGGGTGTGAAAGTCTCCTTCTATTACTGTGTGAGAATATAAGCCTCTTTGAAGATCTTTAAGAACTTGTTTTATGAATTTGGTTGTTCCTGTATTGGATGCATATATATTTAGAATAGTTAGATCTTGTTGAATTGAACCTTTGCCATAATGTAACACTTTCTTTGTCTTTTTTGACCTTTGTTGGTTTAAAGTCTATTTTGTCAGAAAAAGTCAAAATCCTACCCCTACCTTTTCTGTTTTCCATTTTCTTGGTAAATTTTCCTCCATTTCTTTATTTTAGGACTATGTGTCTCTTCGCATGTGAAATTGGTCTCTTGAAGACAGCATACTGATGGGTCTTGGCTCTTTATCCAACTTGTCATTCTGTGTCCTTTAATTGAGGCATTTCACCCATTTACATTTCAGGTTAGTACTTTTATATGTGAATTTGATCCTGTCATCATGATGCTGATTGGTTATTTTTCAGACTTTTTTATGTGGTTGCTTCATAGTGTCCCTGGTCTGTGTATTTCAGTGTGTTTTTGTAGTGGGCAGTAATGGTTTATCCTTTTCTAATTTAGTGCTTCCTTCAGGAGCTCTTAAAAGCCAGCTCAGTGGTGACAAATTCCCTCAGTATTTGCTTGTCTGAAAATGATCTTATTTCTCCTTTGCTTACAAACCATAGTTTGGCCAGATATGAAATTCTAGGTTGGAAATTTTTTTCTTTAAGAATGTTGAATATTGGCCCCCAATCTTTTCTGGCATATAGAGTTTCCACTGAGAGGTCTAATGTTTTCTGGCTTATGGAGTTTCCCTAAGAGGTTCACTGGCCTAAGAGGTGATCTGGCCTTTCTCTTTGGCTGCCCTTAACATTTATTTCTTTCACTTTGGCCTTGGATAATCTGATGATTATGTGTCTTGGGGTTGACCTTCTCATACAGTAGGTTACTGGGGTTCTCTGCATTTCCTAAATTTGAATGTTGGCCTGTCTTTCTAGGTTGGAGAAGTTCACCTGGATGATATCCTGAAGTATGTTTTCCAACTTGGTTTCATTCTCCCCATCTTTTTCAGGTAACTCTGTCAGTCATAGATTCAATCTCTTTATATAATCCCATATTTCTTGGAGGCTTTGTTCATTCCTTTTCATTCTTTTCTTTTTTTTTTTAATTCTTGTCTGTCTGTCTTCTTTCAGAAAGGTAGTTTTCAAGCTTTGAGATTGTTTCCTCTGCTTGATCTTTTCTGCTATTGATAGTTGTGATTGTTTGTGACATTCTTGTAGAGTGTTTTTGAGCTCCATCAGGTTGGTTATGTTCTTCTCTAAACTGTCTATTTGGCTGTCAGCTCTTGTATTGTTTTATCATGATTTTTTGCTTCCTTGCACTGGGTTACATGTGCACTTTTAACTCAGCAAAGTTCATTATTACCCACCTTCTGAAGCCTGCTTTTTCTATTCAGTCATCTTAGCCTTAGCCCAGTTCTGTGCCCTTGGTGGAGAAGTGTGGTCATTTGGAGGAAAAGAGGCACTCTGGCTTTTTGAGTTTTCAGTATTTTTCACTGACTCTTTCCCATTTCGTGGACTTATCTACCTTCAGTCTTTGAGGTTGCTAACGTTTGAATGGAGTTCCTGTAGGGCTTTCTGTTTTTGTTTTCTTTCTTTTTCTTTTTACAGTCAGACCACTCTTCTTTAGGGCTGCTGTGGAGCTGGGGGCTCCAGACCCTAGTTATCTGTTTTTCCTGTACCTGGAGGTATCACCAGGGAAGTCTGCAAAACAGCAAAGATGGCAGCCTGTTCCTTCCTCTGGAGGCTCTGTCCTGGGGGATACTCTCCTGTTGCTGGCCCAAATGCGCCTATAGGAGGTGGCTGGAGACCCATATTGGGAGGTCTCACTCAGTCAGGAGGAACAGGACTAGAGATTCGCTTAAACAATCAATTTAGTTGCCTTTTGATAGAGCAATTGGGCTGCATTTGGGGGGACCCTTTCTCATGCAGACTGTTTGGACTTTCCAAATCCAACAGGCTGAAACAGCTGAGTCCACCAAACTGCATATATGGTGGCTGCCCCAATCACCAGGAGTTCTGTCCCAGGGAGAGATCAGAGCTCTGTTTTTATAACCTTGGCTGGAGTGGCTACAACTGACTGGGGTACCTAAAAAACGATGTGGAGAAAAGCCGGGCACAGTAGCTCATGCCTGTAATTCCAGCAATTTGGAAGGCTGAGGTGGGTGGATCACCTGAGGTTAGAAGTTTGAGACCAACCTGGCCAACATGGCAAAACACTGTCTCTACTAAAAATACAAAAATTAGCCAGGCATGATGGCAGGCGCCTGTAATGTCAGCTACTCAGGAGGCTGAAGGACAAGAATTGCTTGAACCCAGGAGATAGAGGCTGCAGTGAGCTGAGGTCACACCACTGCACTCCAGTCTGGGCAACACAGTGATACTCCATCTCAAAAAAAAAAAAAAAAAAGATGGGGAGAATAGAATCAGGTAAGATACTCCTCCCCCACTCCCCTACAGGGAGATCTGCCACATCAGGAGGAATGGATCAGGGTTCTGCTGAAAGAAGCAGTCTGGCCACGATCTGGCAAAGCAGCTATGCTGCACTGAGGGGGACCCTTCCTTATCCGGACCATTAGGACTCTCTAGAGCTGGCAGGCTAGAATGAGTGAGTCGGCCAAACCTCAGAGATAGTGACTGTACCTCCTCCCAGGAACTCCTTTCTATTTCAGGTAGACTTCACCTTTTTGTCATGGGCTGGCTGAAATCCCAAGCCAGTGGATCTTATTTTGTGAGGTGCTATGGAAATGGGGCTCACAGGAGGATGCTCCTTGTCTCCCTGGATTCAGCACCCTTCCTGAGGATATGTATGGACAGACCTCCCACCTTGCTGTGAATCCCGCGACTGGAGTATGTGAAACTCCTGGGTCTCTGTGTGTGCAGGAGTGGCTGCTCTGCTGAGACTCCACACGGATTTGTGTATCAGACCTAATGCCCTGGTGGCATGAGCTCACAAAGGGATCTCCTGATCCACATGTCGTAAAGATCTGTGGGGGAAGCATGGTTTGCTGGGCAGGGGTATACAATCACCACCTCCATTGGCTGGGGGTGGGGTTCCTTTGGCTCCATGCCACTCCCAGGTGGGCTGTCACCCCACTCTGGTTTTCTTTGTGGGTCGAGTTGTTTGTCTAATCAGTCTTAAGGCAAGAATATTGATATTTCAGTTGAAAGTGCTATATTCACTTGTGCCTTTCATTCTTCTATGTGAGAGCCATGGACCAGAGCTCCTTCTACTCATCTATCTTGGACCCTTTTACCACTTTTAAATAAATAAGTATTGGAAGGGCCCTTTGCTCTGGTTTCTTCTTGTCTTAATTTCATCCATTCCATACATTCATGCACATATGTGTGAGTGTGTGTACATTTGTGTGTCAGTAAGCATAGGTTCAACTGAAGTTTTTTTTTGCTTATTTGTTTTTGAGAAGAAGTCCCACTCTGTTGCCCAGGCTGAAGTGCAGTGGCACAATCTCAGTTCGCTGCAATCTTCACCTCCTGGGTTCGATCGATCCTCCCAACTTAGCCTCCTGAGAAGCTGGCAATTGAAGTTTTTTAAGGGAAATTTGTGTGGGAAAGGCAAAAGTAGTGAAAGTAAACTTTTGTTGTTCATTTTCATTTTTCCTATTTAAGCTGTAATCCCAAAGAAAAATTCCATCTCAGGCTGGACTCAGTGGCTCACTCCTGTAACCCCAGCACTTTGGGAGGCCAAGGCAGTCAGATCACAAAATCAGCTATTTGATACCAGCCTGGCCAATATGATGAAACTCCATCTATACTAAAAATGCAAAAATTAGCTGGGCATGGTGGTGGTGGATGCCTGAATCCCCGCTACTCAGGAGGCTGAGACAGGAGAATCGCTTGAACCTGGGAGGTGGAGGTTGCAGTGAGCAGAGATTGGGCAATTGCCCTCCAGCCTGGGCAACAGAGCCAGACTCCATCTCAAAAAAAAAAAAAAAAAAAAAAAAAAAAAAAAAAAAAAGAAAGAAAAAGAAAAATTCCATTTCCTCCTGTATTGGCTATCAGTCTATATGGATTCTTGACTCTAATCTCCATATTGAATTCTTAAACTTAACAGGTAGGAAATTTGGGTTGTGATACAACTTAAATTAGTTTAAATGCAACTCAAATTAGCCTATGCCAAATTTGTTGGTTGATAATACAAAAAAGGTGGTGATTTGACTTGGATCTAAAGAATCCACAGGCATCATCAGTACTTGGTCAATATCTTTGTTTTCTTCTCTTCTCTTTTTTCTTTTGTCTTCTTTCCCTTTCCTTCCCTTCCTTCCATCTGACCTCTGACTCTTTTTGGTGCTGTTATTGCTACTAGCATCATTTTCAAACAGGAACTTCCCATGTTGTTCCAACACTAATCCAGGAAGAGAGGCAGTCCCACCCAAACCACCTGAACAATGAATGCAAGACTAGTGGGTCTCCTAGGACCTTCTGGAAAGAAAACAAAATTATTCATTAGTTTAATTCCCTGCACTATTCAATCATAATTTTTTAAAGATGTATTAGATAGGAATCAAAGTAAAATGTTAAGTGAAGACAGTCATGCTTCACTTCCCAAAGTGATAAATATATTATTTTAGAAAAGAATACAAAATTTTCATTTAGACACTTGACCAATAACCTATTTTCAACAGGCCATTTTTCAAGGGCTTGGAATTCTAAGGCAGAAAATAAATCTTACTTTTAAAAATATCTCCATTTGAAATAAAAATGCCTAATCAAACATCCCTGTCAAGTAATCTAAATCCCAAGATTAGTTGTTATAAAAACAAAAAACAACAGAAAAATGTAAGCAGGAATTACTGAATAGAGATCTTTGAGTTACTTCTTTTTTTTTTTTCCTCAGCAATCTTTATTCAGTTCTTCTTGGGGGTGGGATGCCTCCCTTCCCATGCTCCCAGCCCTCTCATCCCAGAGCTTCATTGTGCTCAGTGTCCTCTGTTGAGGGAAGGTCTTGGTGCCCAGATGCCTGGTCTGGAGGAGACGGAGGCTCCTTGTCCCTTTGCGGGAGTCGCTGGTCTCTTCTGTTGTGGGGAAGAAGGAAGGTGGGAGGGGTGCTGTCCACTAGCACTCAGAGCTCCATTATGTCCCCAGCTGGGGTGGCAGGGTAGGAGGGACTGGGGGTGTCCCCCTGCCTTAGCAGCCAGAGGGCTTCAGGGATGAGGCTGCCAGGGTATCGCCAGAGAAGCAGCTCAGAGCAAGAGTTCCTGAGTGGGGGCAGGGCCGGGGGGAAGGCCATAGGGGGGCTGCAGTAGGGGTGGTCATTGTGCAGGCTGAGTTGAGAGAAATGGGTGGCTGTGTTCTCCTCCGACAGAAACTGCTTGCTCAGAGGCTCCCTGGCGTCCAGGCCGCGAGTCAGAGTTACTTCTTATATTTCTTATTTCAGTCAATTTCAATCAGTCAATCAGGCATTGAAATTCATGAGCCCCACTGTGAACTGTAGCTTGTCCCTTTGCTAGGCACTGGGGAAATGTATGAATGGAATACAGACTAGTATGGATACAAGAAAAATTAATCAATAATTACACAACAGAATGGGTACTGGAAGACTAGTTCTTCCCAGGGAGTCAGGAAAAACCGTAAAGAAGAAAAGCCATTTGAGATGCATCTTAAAGAACAATAAATTCTTTGTCAGGCTAAGAAAAGAGATGATGTCTGAGGGAAAGACATTTCAAGATGAAACCACATGAGCAAAGTCACAGAGGAGTGAAAGGGCTTAGCCTTTGAAGATAAGAATACGTTCATGCTGGAGTACATGCTGGCAACTGAAAGGGATGAGGTCAAGAGGGAAGGTTATGGTCAGATCCTGAAGACAAATATCATGTAAAGAACGTTACTCTTCTAGCTAGTAATCTTCCCCTCTTCAGTACTTTATAAAAGGCAACCTTGTGTAAATGCGTATATGGCGCCTGTATAGGCATCTCATTGGATACCATACTAATGACAAGATACACTCTTAATTTATTTTGCTCAAGATGAAACAGCAGGACAATACAGAAATGATGTTTTGGTGTAGCTTTCAGTATTGGCTCTGAATTCCATAGGGACCTGACGGCTTTTTGCATACAGTTGTCTTTCTCAGCCATCCTATGTATTCCTTCTTATAGGAGAGACATGTATGGTAATTTGACATGCAGAACACATTTAAATCTCATTCAAACAATTTGTAACTTTAAATAACTGACCTAATAGAATAAATGGTCTGAGCATGAACCTTTGGTATACTTGTTTAGTTGGCAATTGTTTCTGAGCTCTTCTGAGAGAATCACCTGTCTCTGTGTAAACTATCCTATACCCCAGCTGTAACTGAGAATCCCCACTATGTCTCATGCATGCTCATGAGCTTGTCAACTCAAACACCTACTATTTTCTTCCTTTAATCTCTGGTGCCCTCTAGTAATATTTGTTTCTGTAGGATATTGTACTGAGGGGTGAGTCACTTTTGAAGGGTTACTGTTATCTTCAGCCATATACCACCATTGCTTCCTGGAATCCTAGAGATGCCTGAAATTCTCAAAATAAAGAAGGCACCTTGGGTTCTGCAAAGTATTGTTGCATCTTTTTTTCTAATTGGGAACTATCAGTATTGCCAGTAATGAATGTTTATAGATTTTATTGAAAATGTCATTTCAGTTTTACCTTCAGCATCTCAGCATACATTGAGGTCAAGAGATGAATGTATGTGATAGACAACATGGTATATTTATGATTGTTTTTTCCTCTAGGACAACCAATCTTTTGTTTCCTGGACGAAGTTTGTCTTCCTGACTCTTTTCCCCTATGAGATATATGAGATTTTCTTCCGGGTAGCTCATCAGTTCCTCATGCATACCTGAACTGCTGGTGGCTCATCCCATTCCTACTGAACCCAAAGGCATACAACTGGGTCAAAGAAAGGGAGCCTTCCCTACGTTTAGATTCAAACTTCTTGCGAGTCACTAGATCTTGCATTTTAGGAGAAGCCACAAAAGGAAACAATACAGTTTATGTAGTTATGTATTTATTAATTGAAATTACTAAACGCTAAAAGGGCTCTCTATGAAAAAGAAGTGCTTTAGAAGCTCTAGCTTTAAAATGAAAGAACTGATATCATTTTAGTTATTTCCTTCTAGTAACCTTTGAAATATTTTACTTTTACAATCATGTGAAGTCATTTTTTTTTTTTTTTTTTTTTTTTTTTTTTTTTTT